TCTGTGTGTTGAATCAACGACATAACGACATAGCTACTACACCCTATATTCAACAACATTCAGACGGGGGGGGTAGTGGTTATAGTTGTGGTGTTAGTAAGCATAATACTAACAGAAGAAATAATCTCACAGGTTTTAAACCACACGAGGGAGAATAACTTGAGGCAGACTAATTTCCTTTTCGTGTGTACTGTGTCTTTAAGCTTGTAACTTTTTATTTGCCGACATTTAATGAGTGAAAAAACCACACAACTTAACCAAACCCTTTCAGGCAGAAATTGGTTTGTAAACTGTAAAAGTACTCACTTCAAAAATGAAAAACTCACCGCTAAGTGTCGCTGTTGTCAAAATTGTATTTTGCAGACGTTACATGCGCTTCATCAAGCCTTTCGTAAAACTTGGCTATACTATTACAACAGGCCTTGCAACAGTTTGTCCACATATGTATGTCTAGCTAAGGATATACATGTATTTTTAGAAGTCAAATATTAAGAACACGCAGTCGCATTTTATTAAAAGGCTAGAGTGAGGTGATTAAAAAAATAGACACTGTATTTAGTCAAGTCAAGCTTTATTGTCATTCCGCTACATATGTGGACATACAGAGGAACGAAATGTCGTGTCTTGCAGAACAACGGTGCTACATAATTAATCATAAATACAAACACAACACTGCATGTAAGAGCTATTTAAAAAAACACATATCATTTGCATAACTAACCTAATGCAGGTTAGTTACCTCTACCTTCATAATCAGATAATAGATATTCTTAGTTGTACTCAATAATACTGTTTGCAGTTTTAATATGTCAGAAACGCTCGTCTGATGTTAATGAACCCACCTGATTAACTATTCACAATACCTATTGGGTCTAAAAAAAAAAAAAAATAGGCATGTTTATATCAGTTAAAGGGATAGTTCACCCAAAACTGAAAACTCTATCATCATTTACTAACCCTCACTTTTTCTAACCCTATTTGTATTTCTTTCTTTTATTCAACTCAAAAGACGACATTTTAAAGAAAACTGGAAACCTGTAACCATTGACGTCCACTGTATTTGTTTTTCATATAAGAAAGCAATGATTTTCAGCTTTCTTTAAAATATCTTCTTTACACTTGAGGGTCTGTGTAAATAGGGATTAAATGCATTTGCTTTTGTGAAATATGCATATTAATTTGCTTTATGGCATTCATAAACAATGTGTTGCAAATACTGTATCAATAAAGGAAAATCCTGGGTTGCTGTTAAATATGGACGAACCCAATCGTTTGGTTTAAAAGTGCAAATATAGCCTAGTTAATGAAAATTAAACCAACAATGGGTTTGTCCATATTTTACCCAACTGAGGTTGCAACGGTATTTTCTGAGTAAAATAACACACTTTACTAGTATGATTCCAAAGCAATAGTATTTATGTTTTGTATGTGTGTTTTTGGGGGAAGGATCGTTGTCTCTCAGTGCTCCACAGGTTCAGGAAAACATGACAGCGGTAAGTCTATAATGCATGACATTCACAGCTGCACGACGCGAGACAATTCGGTCAACAGAGTCACAGGACATTCATTTAACCCGAGTGACCTTTGTGAATGATGAGAGTGGACTCTTCACTTAAAACACACTTCATAACGTGTGGCGGGGTCAAGCAAATAACACCATTTAGGCTCTGTCCGCTGTTGCAGTGGACATTACGCAATCAGATGCACACATTTTTCAGTGACTGATTTGTAGCGAGATAAATATGTGTGCGCACACATATCAGTAAGCTATTGGGAAGTTATTTTAATATGAACTGATATAAAATGAGTATTGCATTTAAATGATCTTATAATTGGTATAAAACGAGATAAGACCGTGATAATATAGGCCAATAGTTAAAATCAGTTCTAGCACAACAAGAATTGGAGCTCAGAATGTCACATTGCACAAGCAATAAGATATTTTGAATATTTAGGAAATAAAGTGCGTATTTGAAATATATTTGTCCAACGTGTAGCAAAGATATGGAGGGGGGATAGGGATCAAGCATCGATGGTGCAGCACCTTTAGCATCCACAAAACCCTTAAAGAAAATCTTTGGACATTCTTTGAGGAGTTTTTCACTAAAAGGTTCTTTGGTGGACCAAATGTGATTCTATCACTGTGAAAAATCCTTTTAGGTTCTTCTTGGCACCTCAATTTTTAAGTGTTGACTAATTAAAGCAGAGAAATTATCTGGCTTTTATGAATTAGTCATTTTGGTTAAGCAATTCCCAAATGAATAAAAACGCGCGCCATAATTAATAATCAGAAAATCTAAACTATCAAAAATAAGGGTTCTAAATGAGCGTTTTGTATTGCAATGCAACATAAGAATCATAGTTTAAATAACATTACTAAAGAACAATTTACCTTTGCGCAATGCAATTGGATGCTTTTCGTTCAATCATCAATGCACCTTTATTTTTAAGTTGCGAATCAATCAGAAATAAGCCTTTTTTATCAATACAATATCTAAAATATCTGCTTCCTAATATCCATTAAATTGTACAAACAGTGAAGAAATTTAACAATAAGAAATTCACTTTTCTATAAATGTACAATGCAACGTATTTTTTTTTAAATAAGACCTGATGTAAAAAAAGGTCGCAAAAGGTCGGCAGATAATATTATAATCATTGTATATCAGCATTATCCAACAACGATATTAATCACAAAAATTCTCATATATAGGCCTATACATATTTTTATGCAGAGCTATTGTACATGCATTGCTTTGTCGAATAAAGCGGATTCTTGGCCTAAAATAACACTTTTTTTTAACACATACTTGATTTTCAGAAGCTTCAGCACGAATTAAAGGACACATAATAGCATGTAACAGATTGCATGATACACATAATGAGTTATACCGTGTGGACTAAATATGTGTGAATATAACATGATAACCAAGCAGGCTACATATAACACTCTCTCAAGTCTGATATCTTAAAACATATTAGCTAAACCGCTTACTAATTTTAAAAGGCAAAACTTGCACGTTTTAATTTACAGGTATGACTTGTAACTCATTTTGGGTTACTATAGGAACTCTGCAACCTATAGGCGACACTCTGGCGCGCGCGCACTCGGCGAACCGAGAAAGCGCGCGCGCTGGAAAGAAAGAGAGAGAGAGATGGAGAAAAGGAGCACGCGCGTGGGCTTATGATTGGCCGCTCGGCTGCCTGCTGCTGGAGTGACGTCACTGCAGGAGAGAACTGCCAGAGGAGGATGCATTTAGTCAGAAACTAGACTCTCTCGAGCTGGAGAGAGACAACATCGCATCCACAGAGCGCGCAGGAGGCAAGGGAACGAGAACATCGCGTGCAGGTCACACTCGTGCGCGGTTTTCATAAAGTAAAGCTCGCGTCTGTGCGCGCACGAACACCGTAAGCATGCTTTTCAAGGGATGAAATCCCCATCTTGGAAATTAAACTGCCTGTTCCGTTCTCTGGATGGCTGAGACGCAATATTCGATGGCCGAATACTTGAGGACTGCGAGTTTTTTTTGAATGGGAAAACGCGTCGCCGAAGAGATGCACCGAAGAGTTTGGCGTTTGGCTATAGATGTTTCCACAGATTTTTTAGCGTCATGTTCTTGAACGGGAACCTCTATTTGTCCCCGACACACGGCCACTCGTAGTTTTACTTTCTGACAGTGAGGAATATGTGCGTCAATTGTTAAAAGTAAGATTTTTAAATTACCTAAATGATTTCTACCCATATATCTTTGTGCGTTTGTATTATTATTACTATTATTATTGTGCATGAACTGACTCGTATAACTGTTGAGGTCACAATAACTTATTCCACTTATAGACAGCAATCAGTAAGATGACTGAACACTAAATATATTATGCGTATTTGTAAAAATGCATGAATCTAACGTTTTACGGGAACTATTCATAGCTGACCCCATATGATAGACAAGGCCATGTTCAGTGGTAAGTGCATGTGGCCCTCTCAACACTGTCTATACACTTTGTACACTCTCTCAAGGTGAATCTTTAATATCTGGTACATTTCAATTAAATATATTGCATGCGTATATGTTTAATAATAACGTGAGTGCGATATAGAAGCTATATAACCTAAAATAAGTTATTTTGTGTTATATAAACGATACTCGTGTTTTGTAGATCTTAATCTTAAAATTAGGGGTTAGTATTTTATGGTGAAGCGTAATCCGTTAATTGCATTTCTCTTGTAAATATTTATAATCCGTGTTCATTAGACAGTGTGTGAAAATTTAGCCAACCTTGCGCGCTTATATTTTATTACACAATACATTATGCATTTATTTAATTGTTTAAAAAGCGTAATATGTACTTTTTGGATATAACAGCATGCTTGTTTAGCAGTAGATGAAGTAATGTGACGTCACTATACGTGAGGGAAACGTGGGTACAGTATAGCTAACTTACAGAAAAGTAAACTATTTAAATACTCACTAAACGTTCATCCGGGTTAAATAAAAAGGTATTATTAATATTTATCTTCCACTACTTTGGTATTATGGCGAATAATTGTGCGGGAAGTAAGGTACAAAGAGTTGAACGAAAGGCCTTATTGCAGTCAGCGGAAATATAATTTAAAATGCAGGACCTGAAGATATAATTATGCTTGTGGAGGCCTAATAATGGCCATTATTTATTAATTATTTTAAGATTACGAGTAACCAGAAGGGACATAATCCCTTTTAAAAATCGGGCTGATGAATGAAAACCTCGACAATAACTCCAATTGGAAAAGCATCCAGGCTGAAACCGCAACTTCAGGCCCGCTATTGTGGATAGTGTCTTCTTCAGCACGTGCTGAAGGGCTGGGGAATCTCTCAATTCTATTCAGCACTTGAGTTGTTAACAGCATTTACAAGACTATTAAAAGAGTGACTGTAATGTATTTATTGCGCATTAACCCTGTTTTCGTTTATCAGGTCAACTTTATGAGATGTTCCACTTTTTACAAAAAAGTTTTGACAGGAGGTAGTTGCTATCTTTGGTTATCTAGCTGTATGAGTGTTTATCTGCCTTCATAAAGCTAGATAACCGAAAGTAGAAATGTCCTCCTTAACTGCATACAAGTTGAATGGGATGCAATGATCGCAGGGAATCTGCATGAGGTAAGCAAGGCCTTCTGTGTGAGTCATACACTGCCAGATTAATTCACTGCAATGTAAAGATCGTGTGTGTGTGTGTGTGTGTGTGTGTGTGTGTGTGTATAGGCCATAAGGAATGTTTTATCTTCTTAAATGCGCATGTTGCTTAGGGTATTGTTTGTGGATATTTTCACGATTGCAATAGGAAAACATTTGTTAAACATAGCGCCTCTATAGTTAACATATTATCTAAAGTGACAGTAATGCTTGTTTTATTCATTAATTGATTTGTAAAGTTACACGTCGATTTTCATGAATGGTGGTTTTTATTTTAAGAAAGTTATTTAGTATGATAATTAATTATAAAGGGATGAAAATGAAAGAATAGACTGATTTGATCGTCAGATTAGTAGATACGTTGCACATTTTAATGGCAAAACTGCAATGTTGATATAATTGCACATAAAATACTAATTAAAACTGTTTAAAATTATTGATATTTGTTCATAGACTAGGCCTCTATCGTGTATATGTAGCCTATTTTGATTTTCGTGCAAATGAAAATAATTTCTGTACATGACATGCATTGTTAACCTTTATAAAAAGTTTAGAAACTTTCCAGCTATTTCCCAAACCCACTTCCACAAATCCCCATTTAGGCTATCTTTACCTGAAACAGGTAAAAGCCATTGCTGCTGTTATCCAGCCTCTGACGCGGGTAAAATGAGGCCTGCTTTTAATACGCATGCATTAGCTCGATCTCGGTTTGATCTATACTATAATTATTGTGTATTTTGTAACTATTCGATAAACATTCGAAGATAAATCAGCTCCTAAATCAAACTGTTGGAAATTTCGTCATCCAACACTGGATGAGACGATGAAAAGGTGAAATATTTGTGTCAACAAAATGGCTTTCTTCGTGTTGGTGCTCTTCACACTTATACGTTCATTTAGCCTACCGACAGAAAAGGTAAAAAGGTTTAAATCTCTAGCCTTAAATATAGAATTGACATCAAAACTTGAAAACTTGTATCACTACTTTTCGTAGGGCTTACTACTCACTGTCTCTTTACTTGACAGCCGTTTATTTAAGCCCCACACATTTTCTAAATGTATTTAAAATGTAAGATTAATCATAGCTTATTTAAATAAGGACACTTTTAATTAATTTGCATGCATTTCCTTCGAATTCTAATTGCGGCTTGAACACCTTCGGTCAGGCTAACAAACAACAATAATAATAATACGTGACGTCATTGACGGAATCACAACGCCTAGGCAATGACATCATGCTGAAGTAGCTTCATTATGATTGGCTAAATTAATCTGTCTGTACAAATCAGAGATGAAGACAAGAAGCGGAATATGCTAATTTTGCATGTGGCCTTTTGTGGCAAACTTACTGTTAAATAGCACCACCATTTCACCGTAGGGTAAAATGTACAAAAGCAAATAATATTGAAAGAGTTTACGATTAAAAATCATTATAATCATTATTGATAATCATTATATATCGTTTATGGAGCTCTGCGAAACACACACACACACACACACACACACACACATACACACACAGACACACACAGACACACACAGACACACACACACACACACACACACACACACACACACACACACACACACACACACACACACATATGCTCTTCAGAAATATATCAAACCTTTTTTTCTGTGTTTCTTTAAATGAAACAGCATAAAATATTTCTGAAACAATCACAATCTGGTATTTAAATAATTACAGAAATAAATGGTGTGTGTACATGAGGTGTAGGCTAATCTAATCTGAAGGTTTTTTTTACTGCTAAATGCTAGAAATGCATGCTCTAAATATACAAGATGCATAGTTTTATTTTCATAGAAAGGCAGAAAGGTGTCTAAGCCTATTAATAGAACAACAGGATGTGCAACTCCTCTAAGAGTGTCAATTAAAATTAATGAAGAGAGAAGGAAATAGTCTTCATGAGCTTAAACAGTATTTAAATAAAATACGAATAGCACAAAGAATGTTCCATGCGCTGATTTTGCATTCTTTCCCACATGAAATAAATATCTCACATGCCATGTGTGACTTAAAAGCGCAAATTAGTCATTTCCTAAGCATTTCAATCCAAGGCTCATTATCTGGCTGTCATTTATTTATTTGTAAATTGCCAATAATTTAAATGATTTTGTAAAAACCCCAAAATATTCTGATAAACGTAATTATTTTTTTATTTCTTTCAACTTATTGTAGCCTCTCAGACTGCAGTGTCTTTGTGAGAGACCGGAGGACTGGAGTTAAGGGAGAAAACGCCATCTGGTAAGTGCAATCAAAGCAACATTGTAATTAGAACAATTAGTTGTATAGAGTTAATCTGATTCATACACACAGCAAATCATAAAGTATATGCTAATGAATGCATGCACTTGAAAGCAGCCAAATGCAAATAGTAATCCCTCATCAAGCCCAGAACACTACATGCATTACATAAATGTTTCATCAGAAAATCTATATATCGATTTATATTGCTATACAAACATGCATATTCATAAAAAACTTTCTGTTGGTTGTTTGCATGACCTAAAGATGCTTTTTATGTTTATGTACAAGTGGATTTTTTTCTGTTAAAATGCCAAATATATTTATCTGAAAATCTATGTACTGGTTTTTATTGCTATACAAACTTGCATATTCATAAAAAGCTCTGTGTTGGTCAATTGCATGACCTATAGAGGCTTTTTATGTTTTTGTTCAAGTGGATTTCTTTTGTTAAAATGGCAAATATCTTTATCTGTAAATCTACACATGGTTTTTTTATCACTATACAGACATATTCATAAAAAGCTCTGTGTTGGTCGTTTGCATGACCTATAGATGCTTATTATATTTATGCACGAGTAGATTTCGTCTATAAAAAAGGCAAATATCTTTGTCTGAAAATCTATATTTTGGTTTGTATCACTATACAAACATGCATATTCATAAAAAATCGTTCTCTTTGTCGTTTGCATGACCTATAGATGCTTTATGTTTATGCACGAGTGGATTCTTCTATAAAAATGGCAAATATTTTTATCTGAAAATCTATAAATCCAACACAATCTCACGGCAATTCGTAACTTTTTGATTTAGTGGCTAATTCGTATGAATTTGTACCATCTAATTCGTACAATTTAGTATGATTTGCTCATCCCCCAATGACGGTTGGGTTTAGGGGTGGGGTTTGGTGTCATGCCTTCTTTTAAAATCATACAATTTTGTACAACTGAACTTGTACGAATTAGTTGCTAAACTGACAAAATGTAAAATATTTACGTTTTCTCTTGAGTTCAGGCTAACATATCGGTTTATATCTCTATACAAACTTGCACATTCATAAAAAGCTTTGAGTTGGTCATTTGCATGACCTATAGATGCTTTTTATGTTTTTGCACGAGTGGCTTTCTTCCATTAAAATGCCAAAAATATTTATCTAAAGATCTATATATTGGTTTATATCACTATACAAACATGCATATTCATTTAAAGCTTTGCGTTGGTCGTTTGCATGGCCTATAGAGGCTTTTTATGTTTATGCATGAGTGAATTTCATCCATTAAATGGCAAATATGTTTAACTGATAATCTATTTATCGGTTTTTATTGCTATACAAACTAGCATATTCATAAAAAAGCTTTGCGTTGGTTGTTTGCATTACCTATAGATGCTTTTTATGTTCATACAAGAGTGGATTTCTTCTATTTAAAAGTCAAATATCTTTATCTGAAAATCTAAATATCGGTTTATATTGCTATACAAACATGCAAATTCATAAAAGCTTTGCATTGGTCAGTTGCATGACCTATAGATGCTTTTTATGTTTATGTACAAGTGGATTTCTTCTATTAAAATGCCAAATGTCTTTATCAGAAAACCTATATATTGGTTTATATCACTATACAAACATGCATATTCATTTAAAGCTTGCTGTTGGTTGTTTGCATGACCTATAGATGTCTTTTAAAATGCAAGTTAAAGCTAAAAAAAAAAGGCTAATATTATTTTCACATTTGTGCTTTAGCTAGCTAGTACTTTCTTTACAGCAAAGTGCAAGTCATAATCACTTTTAAATTCTATTATGCTCTATGGCTTGTTTATTTTTGCTGTTTATATCATACAGTGTTACACAGATGTTGCTCATTTCCAAACATTGTGAAATCATATATAAAGAAAAGCTTTGCTACAGCTGTTAACCTCAGCAGAAGAAAAAGCAAAGCACATAATTATCTCAAGAAGAATCTCTCAAAGCTTTAAACACGACCTGCATAAAAAGAAAGAAAATAAATCTAAATCAAAACCCGTTTCAACATGGCTGAGAATATGTGGCAAGCATGACTCCAGGACATTAGGCCAAAGGCTTCAATGCGATAAATGATCGGAGAGAGGAAATTATATGTCCGTCTCCATCTCGATAATGATACGAATGTATGGGCCACTATCACATGGCATATTACTTTATGTAAAATTAATGCGAGCAAAGAAATTCTGTCATCATTCATTAACAATGATCTTTTCCTGCTAAACTGGTTACCTAGCCCAATCCAATAAGGGTTATTCAATGAAATTATGGGTGGACAGTAATTGATGTGGGCTGATTCGGTATACCTACACAGTGACCAGCAATGGCGAAAGCCAAACCTGCATGCCTTTGGACTATTGGAGTATTTACATTTCTAACACTCCCCTCTTCCGATTGTCTGTCTCTGATGAAGTTACTCAGCGTGACACCGACGAGAAATTATAGTTGCCTGATAGCGTTTATATTCGCTAAAGAAATAATATATAGCAGTTGCCATGACATCTGCTTTGGCAGTGATAAAAGAGCCTTTTTTGTCCTTTATTTTCTTGTTTCCCCTTAGCAACTGCCAGCCATTTACACTGCCTTTTTGGAAAGAGGCAGAGGGGGAAAAAATGGTGCAATTGTCCAA